ATTAAGCTCTTTCTTTTAACAATGCCATTATTTCGAATAAATCACTTTTGTAAACACAATATCGCAACGACGAACACAAGAGACACTGGAATCATTCTCTTTTAAATCCTTTTTGCCTTTTGTACCTGAACATGTTTAATTTTAATTGATATTAAAGGTGGATTGTTTTAAAACGATTCACGTAACAGAATAAAAACGCTGATCCCATACATGTGGACTGCTAATACAATCCAGTTCTCTGTCCGTCGTATCGACAGACGCTCAGACTCAGACTGTATGGTCTGTTGTATAATAAAGAGGAGTGTTTGTGGTGGCTTCAAAATCGAAATTTAATTATTATCACATTGCGTCTGAGCGGCTGAATGAACTCTACTGCAAACAAAGTTTATTTGAAACTTCGGACGATTGTAGCACAAACTAAATATTATATCAAACATAAAACTGCCAGCACGTTATTTGATTTATTTTTTATAAATTGTTAGAAACTCGTTTAATGAAAGCCGCAATGTTGCGCTTAAAAACTTAAGCTAGGAAGTACGAAAGATTTTTAATTTAAATTCATGTCAAAGTCACCTGTTACCGCACTGAAGCATTATTACAAAGAGATACCTGATTTACTTTAGGGATATAGTGAAGATGGAATAGCGGATACATGCTTTAACTTTTAGAGTATTCGTATACATTTATGCTTCGTTTGATATTATTTCTAAAAAGGGCGTTTATTTTTTTGGTACTGTATGTTTACGTAGGGTGACATTGTAGTGAGCGTTTAAGAAAGGTACATCACAGGGAAGTCCGAAGTAATAATAGTAATAATAATCGTCTATTTCTCAGAACATATACGATATAGGATTCGCCGAGTAAAGTAGTACTTATAATAAACAAATCATTGTAAAATGCTACAGACAATATCATTCACACATTACTAAATTTATTGAAATATTCTTCAAAGGGGTAAATCGGTTCTTCTAAGAGCAGTTTCTTAGAGCTTTCTTAAAATTTTATGTAGAATTTGACGGTCCAGTATTGGAGGCTTTGTTGAGTCCTTTTTAATCTTCCCTCTTTTTTGTATTGTCAGCGTAATAACTAATATAAGCATTGAGTGCTTATCAAAAGAGCTTCTCAACAGCAGAATGTTATAAGGAGATAGTGGTTTAGAAGGACGAAAAGTAAATTATTGTGGCAGGTTGTGCTTCTTAAAATATCTACCAATAATCTGAGAATCACGTATATAGTTGTTAACTACATACCACCATCTTGTGACTTAAACACTGTTAACATATTTTTTGATTGGCTACTGTAATTAGATATTTTATATAACTCCAATCTTCTCGTAATGGGTGACTTTAATGTCCCAGAATTTGCTCTTTCTTCCTTTAACTGCATATCTTCCTCCAGATGTGTTCTAATAAAACAATTTATGAACTTCTTTAATCTTCAGCAATGTAATAAAATATTGAACTCCAAAGATGGACTGTTGGATTTTGTCTTCCCCAACAGAAGTCTTAATTGTTCCGTTAGTAGATCTCTAGTTCCGCTTGTTATAGAAGATGATTATCATCCTGCCCTCAACATAGAGTTACAATTCAAGCATTGAGTCCTCTAGTCGTATCCGGCTAGAGAATTTCCTCAGGAACTCCTTTTACAAAAGGCTAGTATGTCATCTTTGCAGTTAAGACGTACGCAACATTCTGTCATTTTTCTTTATAAGATACTTCCTGGCCTTTATGACTGTCCCTACTTACTTTTAAAAAAATCATAAGTATTTAACCATCTACACGATACTCCTAATATATATTCAAAATTTGGCAACAATCGGTCCAGGGGTGGGATTTTGTTTCTATAACGATAAAATATCGGTACCGATAAAATGTGGTGTTCTTTTTCTTTCGCATCTGAAATTTATATTTTCGTCCTTGTCATTTATCGCTTCGTTATCGCTTCGTATCGTATCGGTAGAAACAAAATCCCACCCCTGGGATTTTGTTTCTACCGATACGATACGAAGCGATAACGAAGCGATAACGAAGCGATAACGAAGCGATAAATGACAAGGCCGAAAATATAAATTTCAGATGCAAAAGAAAAAGACGACCACATTTTATTGGTACCGATATTTTATCGTTATAGAAACAAAATCCCTCCCAGCAGTTTCGGATATTACGTGGATAAAAGTGGATTGTGCGATGTCGCCTCTCTTCTCCAAAATCCAAGGATTATAGCCATTAATTGCAAACTTTGTTATTAGCTCGTTTATTATCAATGAGTAAAATAAAATAAACTTTAATCGTATAGCTAGATTGATTAAGTTTTTAAATTTGTTTGTAAACACTTCTGTGCCTATAGCTGCTTTTTTGCTGAGTTCTGTGTAGGAATCTTTATTAAAAACAGTTTTTGTTTAAATGCAATAAAGTTATTAAACTGTCTTAATAGAAAATTGGCGCTTAAGGCAAAGCTTTACAACATTATGTTTTTTTTAAGAATTTCCGCTCGTTTCATTCCCTGAGGTTTGAATAAAAAAAATCCAAAAATATCTTAAAAGCTTAACCTTTATAAGCACAAGTCAAGCTGATAATTTACTGAAAGTGAGAGCCTTTAAAGATTTTGTAAAAATATATTTCAGCTCTTTTTACGCCCTTAGAAATTAAATTTCTTAGCGACTGTATCGTGAAGGAGACGACTTCTAAAATTTCAAGTTTTTGGTTACTGTTTATTTGTATATATAAAAGAGTATGTTGTATGAATATATCAAACTGTTTTGTAGAAATAGTTAATTCAAAAGTGGCAAAGTTGTATTTTCGACAACAAATAACCACGACAGATAAAACTTAGATTAGACGCCGAAACAACTCATCAGTAACTGAAACCAGCCAACAACAGGCTTCGAAAACTTAAATTAGATCTTCAACAACAAACATTTGAAACAAAAAAGAAGAAAATTAATCTCAATGAGACATCGAAATGAAAATAAAAATTGTTCTGTTGATCAAAAACAAAGTATCATACAAAACGTTTCGAGGACGAACTGCGTTAGTCGATCCCTCGCTTAGATATAGATTATAGTACAGAATTATAAGCCAACTAGGGTAAACAGAAATGAATATTTATGGAGGTTAATAATCAAAATGTAAGGAAACATATTTTTAGAATTTAGTAAAGAATCCTCCTACAGAAAATTCGTTCCATTCATGAATATGCATTTACAACGTGATTGATATATTTACAATGGAACATTCGAACGTGGGTTGAAATTGTGTTTACTTACCAATTCAAACAAGTTGTGACATCTTAGTGTAATTGCTGAATCAGTCAAGATGTGTTTATTTAACGTTTGAGACATAAAGTTTTATTTTTACAATGAGCAAAATACAATAAAATACGATTACTTACCTAAGTAAGCCGGCATTGAATTCTAAATAAGACAGGTACTCTCAGAAATATTTTACAAATTTTGCTTCAGAAATTAAAAAAAAAATTCAAATATACAGGGTATACCCTCTAATAATATTAGTCACCTAGTTTAATTTTTAAACGTAATATCCTATATAATTTCATTTAAATTTAGATACTTTATTAAAGAGAACCTACATTTTCTTCCAGCTGTAGTTTTTACTATATTTGCATTTGCTGTCAAAAATTTGGTCAGATTAAATTTGTCATTTCGCTATATTTAATAATTGAAACTGGAATTTTGTACCTAATTTTTTATAGTTACTTTGTCTTGACAAAGTTATAAAAAACTTAAGAAGTTAAATTATACGTCATTAAATTTGTAAATTTTTTATCATTATATTCAAGTTGGACATCCTGTAGTTTACATAACTTTTCAGCTCATCTTTACCATTTCTTGTGATAACCTAACAGTCCTTTAAAATTATTGTTAGAACAAATCCCAACTAAAATTCTATTAGAGTGGACCAAAGAATGGTCCACGATTAATCGTTTATGACCACGACGTTGGGATATGTGTCATAATACGAAGTTCCATAAGGAGTTTTTATTCATGTACAGTAAAATAATCCGAGCTTTGTCTATAATGGATTCTTTGAAATCTTTTATTTTTGATTTTAACTTTGGTCGTGGCGATCTTTAACTGGAGTGCTTCTGGCATTCATTTATCATTTTAATGCTAGCGACTATTTTTAAACCAACACAGTAGTGCAGCATTCCATCAATAAAACTGCAGAAATTTTTCTTGAATCGCAACTCATCCAAAGCATTTACTTCCTCAGCTATTCACCAACATTTAAAGATAACAAAGGGCTATTGTTTTTTTCCTCCTTTTAGATAAGGGATCATGGTTCCAACGCGGCAGTTTAAAGCCTTGTTAGGAATAACAATGACCTAACTTATGATTAAAGCTAATACAAAATCTAAAATGAATTGTTTTCATAAAAGATATTTAAACACAAAAAGCAACGAAAACAACACCGAAATCCAAAAGACAATTACAATATGAATATGGATATGATACGACGGCAAATATAAGTTAAACGCACTTTGTACGAAATGTTTGCTAATAACGGTTTACAATATTAAATTACCACCGGAAACTTAATTGTGTTTAAATTTGCTGCTCACATTTACATTCACAATCACAACACTTCATACCGACGATTTGATTATAAATTACAATTCTTGTTTTGACAAGACGACAAAAGCGGGTTCTCATTTTGATGTAAGAATTATACGCAAACACGCCGGAATTTGGAAACAAAGACAATCGTCTTTATTATTTAGATTTTTTTGTTCACGTTGTAAATTTATTTTCAAATTTAGCATCATGTCTTGATATCAAGACAGCAGAACAAAGTTTTGTAATAATATTCTGTTAGCATCCACCACCGCGTACATTTTTAAACAAATTATATGTTCAGATTTACATCCGATTTACATCCGCTTGGCTGCGCCAATTGCAGAGCCGGCTTCAAATTTCTTCTCTTCGGCAATTTTTGCAATCTCATTGTGGCTCAATCGATAAACCGTGTCATTATTTCCAGGACTGTTCGAGTGCATCGACGGCGTGAAAATCAAGAGACTTGAAGTACCGAAAGTGACGCAATTTGGTGCTCCTATTGTCCTCAATTGCGATTACACATTGGAGGCGTCGGTGGACGAAGGACTGGTCGTTAAGTGGTTTTTTAACGATGTTAATACATTGATTTATCAGTGGATCCCCAACGAGAAACCACGAGAATTAGGTGAGATTTCTTTTAGTTTTTTCTCTGCGAGAGAGCGAAAAAATTGTCGTTTCCGATTGGAACGTCGTCGTCGACTTGAACATTTTCAATGCACAAGAATCTCTATAACGTGCAATTATTCTGATTCGAATCGGAGTGCTGTTCATAAATAATTTATTTCGACGGTTGAGAATAGATTTTGTAGGAATCGTACCGAACACAGGCCGATACAAATTGGCGTATAATTTTGTCAGAAAATTGTGAACTGAATTAATAGTTGAAGGCCTAAATTAGTTGGATATCGATTTTCTGATATCTATTATTAAAATTAAACACGGTACACTGGATAGAGAACACCCAGGTTAAAATGTTTAATTGGCGTTAATTAATTTATCGACAAACGTGAAAATTAGTCATACGGTTTCGTGAAATGTACACGTTTTAAGTTAGTTTTATTCGAAATTGGTTTCGTTTTATTTGTATTTTCAACGATATGTTGGAAAAACAAAAAACAAGAATATATTTGAAACAAACAATATGGGAAATTCGATATAATTAAGCCGTGCTGTACATTTTATAGAGTTAAAATAATATTGTACTATTTCCATGTTGGTATGACAGCTTGAACTTTAGTTGCAACTCTACTAAAAGGGTAATATTTGACTAAGTTAACCCTCTTTCTACTTATCGTATTTCCACCAAGGACAGGACAATTTTATTTATGAAATTTGAATGTCATTTAAGCTTGTATCTAACGCGCCATAACTTCATGCTTATTAAATTTTACAGTTAGGTTTCTATATTGCAAAAATCTTGCTGTGAAAGTGTAACATTTTTTGTTTGTGGTATTGCCTAAATTTCTATTTCATTAAAATTAAGTTAAATCGTTCGTTTCTAAAAGTTATCTGAATGATTGATTCATGCATTATTCATTTTTTATAATTTGTGCTTTTCTTGCTTATAACACAGGCAAATTCGTGATATGCCAACACGAACGTTCTCCACATGAAATCTTCAGTCATTGTGGTTGTAGTAATAACTGATTCAAAATTAAATAACCTTAAGACTACAAAGTTTCATGTCGTGAAAAGAAGTCTGCAAATATTAAAACAAAAAAACAAAATGTAAGCCCGCCCACCCGCCCTATCTCATTTGTGATGATTTTTTTTATTCAACGTGAATCAAGGAAGTGGAGCTTAACTGCAAACTACTTATTTCTTAAAAATAAATTAAAAATATGTTTTTGAGTATGGTGTTTTTCAAAGAATAGTGCATATTTATTCAGAAAAAAATGCAAAATATAAACCCCGCCCACCCACCCTATCTCAATTGTGATAATTTTTTTTTTAGAAACTTACAACATGTTTAACATTTTTGTAAGGAAATACGGATTTTGCAATTAGGTTCGCCCCCAGGTCTGTAAACGAATGAAAACTTCATTACTATTTAGATCAGGGCAGGTATGGGTGAGGCTTAATCTTTGGCTTTATTTTTTTATTAATATAAGTACATTGTAGTGTTTGAATAACACTATAGTGAAAAACATGTCTTGCATGGTAATTTCTTGTGGAGAAATAATAACGATTTTGCAATTAAATTCTGCTCCTTTGGCTCCAATGATTAAAAAAAATCATCACAATTGAGCTAAGGCAGGTGGACGGGGCTTATATTTTACTCTTTTCTTAACATACGTAGTCGTCTTTTCAGAACGCGAAACTTAAAACATGTTTAAAATGGTAAATTCTTGTAGACAAATATGGATCTTGCAGTTAAGCCCCGCCCTCGATCTGACAACGAATGAAAAACTCATCACTAGAGAGCGGATTTTATGAAATTTTGCATATCCGTTATTTTTAGCATATAAGTCTTGATATTTAATATGTGAACGAATCATGCTAATTAAAAATGAATACAGCTATAAAAAAAATTGCATATTTGCATATATTTGCCTTCTGCTGCATATTTCACGTAACCGGTGCATATTTTGCATTTTTATCCATTTTTGTGGTAATTTGAAAAAAAAAAGATTATCATTCTATCGGCATTTATTGTAGTCCCAGTTTAAAGCGGTTTTTATGACAAGATAATTAACATTATCACTTCGTTATTACCCCACGACGGACAATATTAAATAACAAAGTACGGCCTTGCAAAGAAACCGACCACGTTCTTATTTATGGCTAGGGAATGACTTCATTGTCCCCATCATCAACTTCGACACAATGGACCTATCATAAAAACCACTTTAAACTGGGAAGACTATATCTAGAAAGTCGAAATTTCATTCATCATATAGCAAATATTTTCCTGAGCTTCAAATAACTAGGAAAGGTTTGGGTTTTATGGTAGTTTGGAGAAACCACTGGGTGTTAAACCATCCAGCAGGTAAATTCGCGCTCTAATTCCTTTTGGAAATAAGGCTTGTCCCAGAAACTTTTGCACATATTTTGTTTTTGAATAAAATAAGAACGTCTCAACAAATCGAATCAAATTTATTTACAGTATACTATAACAGCAGTAAAATTATGAATTTCTTAATTACTTGTTTAAAATTAACGGCTTACGGGAAAATAATCTCACTTTAGATCTAATGCGACGCATTATTTTTTGCAAATTTGCACTAGAAGCTTTTTTACTTCCCATCATCCACAATTTTTTGAAGAATTCAAAATTTTTGGCGCATTTTCCTTCTTCCTTTAACTAGAACCCAATATCTTTCAACAAGCCGGAGTTCAGGTGAGTTTGAGGGGTTATTTTCATTTTCTGGATATTGCACTCTAATCTGCGCAAACCAATTCTTCGCTAATTGTGAGTAATGCAAAGTAGCCTAGGTCTGACCAAAAGAAAGTAGAACCAGGGTGAGCTCTTTAAAAAGATAGTAATCGAGCTTGAAGGCATTTTCGGACACAAAAATCAGTGTTGGTGCTGTTTTCAACAAAAAAATCCTGTTTCTCTTGCCACATTGGCAAATTGCTTGCCAAACAAGAACTTTGCGGCCAAATTTTTGCAAAAAAATATATTTTTCTTTGTCTCTGACATCTATCAATGGTCCGTTTTACCGTCCACTGCGTCGCATTAGCCTCTTTCACTATTAAATTTAAAGAGTTTTGATAATGTTCGGACCAAATTTGCAAAATTCGTTGTCTTACACTAACTCTTTTTGACGACATTTTGAGAGCCGACTGATTAAAACAAAAAAACTAATGACAGATGTGTAGACCATGGCCTACTGTAGCATATATATTTTACTTAATTCAAATGTCAATTAAACAACTTTAATAGCAGAATTTAAATATGGTGCAAAACTTTCTGGGACAAGCCTTACTTTCTTTCCCAATATTTTTGTTCGTTACTTCAGTGTATTAATGACATGTTTTGTGGTGGTCAAAGGGACGTTATCCTATTATTTTTCATCGTGAGTTTGCATTGAGGCATTTAAAGCGATACAGGTGTGTCAATATGTCGAAGATAACTCAAATTAATTTATGGATTAAACTTTTTCCTGAACTTATTCTTCAAGAAGCAACTGTGTTTTGTCGCGTCTGCTCTAAACCGGTATTTATTTTTACATCTGTGGACGTAGTAGGTACACAGTTTTTCTATTTACAAATACATACTTTAGAATCACTTTTTGTTCAATATTTCGAAAAATATTTAAAAATAAATTGTTACCAAAATAGTAATTAAATAGTCGATTACTACTATCTTGCGATTTGTTCTGTTTATATTTAATTTTTAGTATAAGAATATTAATATTTATGATTTATGTATTTTTTGTAATAAAACGGAAACCTGTTTTTGTAATTTGTAAATCAATTTAGTTCACTTATTAAGCTTTTTTTTTAATTGTTGGAGCATATGCAAATGCATATCTCTGCATATATTAAGAAAGTTACTGCATATTTCCATAAATTTCGTGCATATCATATGATCATATTTCCCAAAATTTTGCTGCATATTTTCCGCTCTCTACTCATCACAATTCAGAATTGAGATCGGGGCGGCTAGGGGTGGGGTCTAATCTTTGCCTTTATTTTTTTCTTAATATATCCAATATTCTTTGAACATCACGAAATTCAAAAACATATTTTTAATTTCTTGTAGAGAAATAAGGATTTTGCAGTCAAGCTCCGTCCTCTTGGATAACGACGAATAAAAAAAATCATCAGAATTGAGATAGGGCGGGTGGGTGGGGCTTATATATTGCCTTCTTTTTCTTAATATGTGCAGTCATCTTTTCAGAACAAGAAACTTAAAACAAGTTTAAAGTGGTAAATTTGTATAGGGAAATATCGATTTTGCAATTACGCTCTGCCCCTCGGTTTGACAATGAATGAAAATTTCATCACGAATGGTCTCAATTTGCCCTTTTCATATTTCTTATCACCTGATTACTAAATCGGTCAATGGAAAAATATAAATCTCTTGAAAATTAAAAAAAAAATTATTATCATTTTGAAAAATTAGTTATCAAATTTCAAGTTTATGTCTTAACGTTGATAATAATATATTTAGTGTCGAAACATCGTAACAAAATTGTAATTACATTCTTGGTACAATAATAATGATAACAGGAATAAATTTAGTATGCTCTTATAACAAATATGAAATAAACCCATTAAAAAAAAGGAAAAATGAACTATTGGAATTGGAATGAATAGATTGTCATTTTTAACAAAAATAACGCATTTTACTTAACATACTTTGCTGGGTAAAATCCTTATCTAAATTGAAATTTTATTATAAAATTTAATACAATAATAGTTGTACTATCTCTGGGTTTTGATAATTTTAACATGTGATAAACGATATCTGTAGTATTTGTGTTGTAATCATGGTCAGCATTTAATGTAACATTAGATGTGGGATGGGTTTAAGCATTTTTAAATGAACAGTCTGGGAAAGGTAAGAATATTAAGTTTTTCAAGAATTCCTTACAATCGTCTCTATATTTTTCTAATTTCTTATAATTCTAATTGCTCGCCACTCCAACTTGATTAATCTGTGCCTTGATGTAGAAT